TGCAGCCCAAAAAACAAAAAACATGCTTATCCTCGGAGAAAACCGGCGATAAAAATTCTCCATTACAAATAAAATATAACGCAGATCATTGTATCGGAAACAATACGGCCCGAAAAAAATAAATAATCGTGATCATTCCTTCTATTTTTGGTTAAAACCTTCCTTTTTAATAACTCATTCAATGATAAATTGGGATATCGGGGGGTTTTTTTTATACTAAAACTAGGCGTAACCCGTCGCGCTGCGCCGGGAATGATACTTGCCCATCAAGTAAGAGAGTAATAATAATAACACACTTATATTTTATTTGCCATGAAGTATGGATAGGTCTAGTTTTTTACTGTTATTATGATGGTATTAGTAGGAAATAAATATAATAAATTACACATTATACAAATAACAATGAATTGTGTGCAAGTGTTATATAGTATATGAAATATTATTATTAAATGCAAATTTTATTTAACACGAAATAATTGTTGCAGTACTGTGAAATTTATGATTTGTTTATACATTTACAAAGGTATGAATCAAAAATCTAATAATAATAATCAAAATATATTAGCAGTTCATCTGTAAGTTATAAGGAAAAGTGATAATTTTGTATAAGTAGTTTATTACATTGTTACAAAAAACCTTTGTTTTTTCTTAAAAAAAATTTCATTGTAGCATTAAAAAAAAATGAATATATAGAAAGTAAGTAACGGAAATTGACAAAGTAAGTAACGTAAAGTCACATGATCTATTACGTTACTTAGTAAGATACGGAACGTAAATTTTTTTGGTAAATACTTTACGTTACTCCTTATATTTGCCACATGATCGCGTCATGTTTATTTGTTTATCGAATCTCGTTTTCAGTATAGTTTCATTTCTTACTCATTTTTTTATATTTTATTTATTTTGCTTCTGTTTCATATTTCCGTTTTTCACTAATTTTATTTCATTTTTTATTTAGTTATTTTAGTTCTTTCAGTTCTATAAATAATAAAGGTATGTTTTTTATTTTTTATTTATTTTTTTTATTTCGTTTTTATCTTAATTACTAACTTCATTTTTTTTTTACTTTATGGTTTATTTTTACTTGGTTTCCTATCATTACCCAACCCCTTATCATGATCATTTTTTTATTTTTTGTCCCTCATCATTTTTCACCTCATATTACTTCTCATTATTCGTCTCCCATTATTCCTATTACATCTTTTCATTTCCCGTTATTTCTTTTTCTCTCCTGTTTACTTCCCATTATTTCTTTTTCTCTCCTGTTTACTTGATTACTTCCCGTCATTTCTTTTTGTCTCTCATCACTTCCTTTCGTCTCCCATCATTTTCTTTTTGTCCCTCATCACTTCTTTTCGTCTCTCATCACTCTTTTTCGTCTCACATCACTCCTCTTCGTCTCCCATCTCCCATCACTCTTTTTCATCTCCCACCATGCCCTATTTCTCCTTTTTGTTTCCTATCACTTCTCATTACTCTTTTTTACTCCCTTTCTTCTTCTATTACTTTCCATTACTCCATTGTTATTTCATTTTTTTATTAGCATTTTTCTCCTTGATCATTGTAATTTATTTATCTTTTTTATTTATTGTTAGTTTTTTTTACTTGTATCACTACATTAAAGTAAATACAGTGATTTTTTTCGTTAAAATCGAAGATGTGTGACTTAAATTTAATATTTGCAAATAAAATTTCATTAAATAAATCGATTATTTTGAATAAATGTGTTTGCAAAAAAAATTTTAAAAATATTTTCGCAATAAAATTTTAAGTTTAACCGATTTTTAAATTTACCTTACATTCTGTATCTTATATAAAGGGAGTAACGTAAAGTAAATATAATTGACTTTACGTTCCGTGCCTTATATAAGGGGAGTAACGTAAATTGACCTAAAACAGTAATTTTACGTTACTTACTTAGCCAATTTCCGTTACTTACTTACTACTTGCCGA